TATCAAGTACACTTAATTCTTCCATTCAGATATGATCAGCTTGTCATACCTGGACAAGCACTCCTAAATCAGCCGAGACCAAACCTATATCAATCTTGTAAAAATGTGTTCTGGATTGGATGAAGAATTATCATACTTGTTTTTCACTTAATAGGATCTACTTTAAATTCGATAAAAAAAATTTTGTTTAATTACACATTTTTTGTCTAATGTATTTAATAATAATGAATAATTTATATTCTGTACATATATCTACACTTTCCACCTTTTTCAAAAAAGTGACAATGTTATACTTTAAAAACGTGATTCCAAATCGTTTTGTATAAGGAGTTATGGATCTACGGTTGCAAAATTTTAAAAATATTATTAACATATTGAGTTAAAATATTAAACGAAATATTAATTTGTTTTCAACTATTCATGGATCCAAGTAAAATATCGTCCTGCATTTTGTTTACTTATTTATAGTTTATTAATTAGTTTTAAAATTTCAAAACTAGTTAAGGTTTTTACCAAGAACTAATTATACTATTTTTATATCATACTTTTGATTGAAGTAGTCGAAGCTGAAAATTAAAATCCTTGAAGTATTTTCATGACTTTTTGCAAATTACATGTCATTATCATGCTTTATCATACTTCCTCAACAACAGTCAATTTAATTTGCTGTATTTTATATTGCAATTTACTTCCTTTCAGGATTCGTTGGCAAAGGAGTTGGCTTCGCCGATCGCGAATACCTCGTTTGGTATATACTTTTTGTTATATTTGTGCCGTACGCAATGTTGCCGCTGCCGCTGAAGTGGTGCGTCGTTGGTGGCACCATAACAGCCAGCTGTCATCTGGCCGTAATTACAATAATTAAATTACAGAACCAGGAAGTAAGTTTGTTGCTATGAGCTGCTATTCTTACCAACTCGTAAAAAACTTTATAAACAATTTACTATGCTAACAATCAATGATTTCCCCTTTATGTACTGCTCTTGTCTAATATCCTTAATTTACATTGTACCATAATGTCCTTGTCTTGTATCTACTAACTTACGAAGTTTCTTTGTTTTTGTTTTTGTTTATATTTGCCTTTTGTTTAGAAATCGAACTGCATTTTATTTCAAATATTTGCCAACTTTATGCTTTATACGGCAATAAACGTAGCTGGGATGTACACTAAGTATTTAACCGATAGAGGTCAACGCTTGGCATTTATTGAGACGCACAAAGCCATGGAACATAAAAAGGAATCAGAGAAGGAACTACAAAGGACACAAAAACTTTTGGACTCAAGTAAGTTAAGTTATTTTTATTACGATTTGCAAAATTATATATTTTACTTGTAAGTAGTTTTTTTAGAGAGGTTTCGTAGTAATTTTTCCATTTAAAGAATATCTATTTAGTATTTCATACGTGAATGAGTATCTTGTGTTGTTATTTGAAGTTTTTAATTTACTACGAATGACGTACGAAAGTGCATTTTAATGTCATTTCATGTTAATGTAAACAAACAACTTCATTTTCAGTTCTGCCCAACATTGTCAACAACCAGATTCGCACGGAAATGTACAAAGGCACCGATCCGATGGTGGAGACACAATTCAATAAACTCTACGTGTACCCGATGCACAACGTCAGTATTCTGTTCGCGGACATCAAGGTGAGTTTGCTTATGCAGGAGTTAAGTAAATAACACATATAAGGCGTGTTAACAAAAGAAGGAGCATTTGTTTTAAATTTATTATTCTGCCCTACATGTGCTCGGAATAATACTCGTACTTTAAATTTATTTCAGGAATGATTATAGATTTTATTGCAAGGTATAATGCGATTGCAACTTTACATAGTCGTAACAGACAGCGACTTAATATATTTTAGGAATAACATTCAAAAAAAGTTAATCCAAAAGAAAATATTTCAGTAGATGGAGTTTATTTCAGGAATTGCAATTCAATGCAATTATTCACTAAGAATTTATTGCAATAAAATGACTATTAAGTGACTATAACTAAAAGGATTCAGAAAAGTAGGTTTTAGAAATATTCCACAGTTAAAAGATCTCTATTATTGCATATCAAAACATATGGGAGAGGTTTTTAAATCTGATATGAACGCTCCAAGAAAAACTTTCTTATTAAATTGGCTATTACAGACGCAAGTCGTCCTTGACTGCGCCCAGTAACCTCCGCCAACCAGCCAGAACAGTGACTTCCTCTCGCCAAGAGTCCCTAAATTGTTTGTCACCTGGTCCTTTCATCGAAGATGCGGACGTCATTTACCGCGTTTTCCACTTTCGAGTACCAAATCAAACACCTTTCTAGTTAGAATACTTTATTTCATTCGCATGACATAACCAAACCAGCGAAGCCGCTGAACTTTTATATTCAAGAACAGCACGAAACCCAAAAAACCAAATTAAAATTGTTTGGAAATCGAGGTCAAGCTGACAGTTTTCAATAATCCAGATATAATCCACTCCCACTTTTAAAAAAGCAGAAAAAGATTAACAAAAACTGTTTTTGAGGTTATGAAGTGTTTTAATAGAAATACCTACCGAAAATAAGCAGATTAGTCCAAGGCTAAATTATAGGGTTTGCACAATGAAAAAGCAGCATCGCACGAAGCCATTGTTATTCAAAAGTTTTTGGCGAAAAAAATCAAATTTTTTTATTTGTCAAATACACTACTCCCTAATATGTCTTCGTCCAACTTTTTTCATTTCTCAAATTTCTAATTGCCACTTAAATGAAGCCGTTGCGAGTTAGTTGCGTCTACAAAAGATAATTTGCTAAAATAGTTCAGTGCAGTATCACTGAACCAACCAACAAGAAATATATAAAGAATTAAGTATATCATATCATGGCACTCGATGATGTCACCGGAATGAAATATGTGGAAAATTGAGTTAATCAATGTGTAGACTCATTATGTTGAGTATGGCATTCGATGGGTCACCGATTAAATTTGTTAAGAATTGAATTAATCGCTGAGTTCGGGCACCAGATCTAAATATGTGGAGGATTGAATTAATTCGAGGGGATCACCAGAATATTGGCATTCGTTGGTGTCACCGTATTGGAATTTGTGAAGAATTGACTTAATTATAGTACTTAAGTCACCGAAATGAAATATGTGGGTGTATGAGTTAATAATGACTCTCAAAGGGTAGTCACCGGAATAAAATATATGCCAGATTGAGTTAACTCAGCACATAATGGTGTCACCAGAATGAAATATGTGGCGGATTTGATTAAATATCTACTTCATCTACTTTATCCAATAATTCTAGATACTTTGTACTTCAAATTATTTCAATCAGTTTCATGTATTCACAGAAAAGTAATAGTGTAATGATATAAGGAAAAATCCATCAAATGAGGCCAATGTAGAGAAAGAAGAATGCCTTTTTTATTGAAAGCAGTTATGCTTTGTTAATTGGAAAGACGATCACATGACGCCGGAATATTCAGGTTAGGTTGGATTAAATTATTTTGGCGACACTAAGGATTCACTTAGGTGTATTAACTCACTGCGTTGCAGTATAAGAACTGAGGGCTTAAATTTTTTGAATCTTTAAATCTTTAGCAAAAATCAAAATGTGTGTTAACAAGAAACTTCTGGAAATGGACATGATCCTTAAAAAAGTAAGCCCGTACCATAGTTAATCGACGCATAAACTGGGCAGTAAACTGGGAACACTATCAACTTGTGTACAGATGCCTGCATATCCATTGCTATACCCACCTTCTATTAAATTACTCAATATAGAAAAAGTCGTAGCATTATGCCATAATCTTTCAAATGTATCGCAATATTATCTAAAGCACCTTGTCTAGCTTGCAGTTACCGAAAACATCGCTATGATCCAGAGTAGAGAAATATTAAACCGCATCGACATCTCATTCAGAAATGTGTAGCAGTCAAAATACTGTTCCGGATGTGAATTGGACTGGACTCAGTGACTATCTGATAGCATACGTATATTTCGATGCCGTATATTATTCACGTCTAGACAAGCTATAGCTTTCAAAATAGCAATCTCTTCCGTCTAATAAACATTACAGTGATCAGAAATTCCTTAATATATAGATTTATTGATTCCCTCCAAGTAAATCCTTTGCCTGCTCCACTACCTGCTCTACTACCTATTGTCAGTATAAATGATTAAACTCTCTTCTAAAAAGGGACCTCCCAACAGCCAGGTATCTCCAGATGGAAAATTGATGAAAGAGATATTCATGAAAGACAATGTATATAAAAAAAATTATATTTATAATATATACCTATATAATAATTTTTTTTTATTTTGCTGTAATAACATTTTAATTAACTATACCACATCTCTGCACAATAGACCCTTTGCCAATAGTTCACGACTTTTCAAAAATTTTAAAGTTTTTAAAAAATTTATGACATTTTTTACAAAAATTAATTAAAATAACTGTCAATTATTTTATTTTGAAAGACATGTACACATACATATAAAAATAATTTTTTGTAAGGTTACTAACTTTTTGGTGCTCTTATTTCTTTTGACAGGGTTTCACGGAATTGGCCAGCAAAACATCAGCACAGCAACTCGTGAAAATCCTGAATGACCTTTTTGCTCGCTTCGATAGAATCGCAGAGGTGAGTATGGATTCTACAAAAAATAAATTTGAATTTATGTAGAAATCTACTATAAAACCGTTTAGGTGAGCTTAGTGGGATTGGTGGTGCATGTGTGATGGCCACATTCGGTGAAATTTTGCATAATATTTATAGCAATTTAATTTTTAGATACGAGTATTTCGTGAATTTTTAAAACACATTATTTTCTGTTTATCTTTTTTTTTTGTGTTAATAATCTAGATTTAAGATAGTTAAGTGTCAAATGCAAAAAGTGCAAAATTCACATTTTGGTTGTTATGAAAAAGCAAAATTTCAATTATAATTTGCATTTCTATTTCATGGGAAATTCAATTTTCACACCGAAAAAAATGCAGATGACACTAATCAAATGTGATATCTGCAATAAGTATGAAATATTTTAAATAGAAAAGAGATATATATATAAACTTAATAATATTTTGGCGCATATGACAATGATTATAGGACTTAGGTGCGTAGGATTCAAGTTTGTGGGACATAAGTTCGTATAATTTAGCACTTTTAGTTTTTGAATTTTTTCTAAATTTAAAAATCACATAAATAAAATAGAGTAAAAATAAAATAGAGTAAAAATGATATATGTATTTATATATATGTATGTCATATAATCGCAAAGTAGAACTAACAGGACATTGTAAACTAAAATACCACCTTACCAGTCTTGGTATATATACAGACGGAAACTGTATATTCTTCGAAGAGCATGAAGAGTCATCCATACAAGTGCTGTTAGAATGCCCGACGCTAATAAACACACGCGGTAAACTCCTTAAAACACACGGAATACCTTAATACCTTAAAGTACGTTCTCTACTACTTTTATCGACATCCGGAAGAATGCACAATAGACCTAGCAGTCGCAGTACCACAACACATATTAATAATAACAGTGTAAAAATATCAAACACTACAAATTTAATTTAAGGAATCCCTAAAAGTAGGCAATAAATTTTAAAATTAATGAAACTTCAATAGATCTTTAATATATCGAATAATGCTCGGAAAAATTGATATAACTCACTGCAATGCTGAAAAATACTTATTTAATATCATTTCTAATAGATGTGCCTTCTCAAAAAGGCATTACATGTATAGCCATATGTTTAGCATTGTATCAAAGATCTAGATAATAAGTCTAAACATTTTCTAATCTTTGATTTTTTGGAATTTGCAATTATAGCTATAAATACAATTCTGACTTTACTTAGTTGCGTTGATAAGTTCCAAATATAGCACAAAATTTGCATATTTTTTTACTTAAAACCCATTTTATCGTTCTTTAGAGTATATTCAACTATAAAATGAAGCATACTCAGTCTTATAAATTTCATCACTGCTTTTGCATCTTATTCTCTCCAAATGTCCAATGTTAAATTTTTTAAATTGCTTTACCGTTTTCTCCATAGCAAAATTCTCACATGTTATGTATGTATAGTGCGGTCACAATCATTAATTTTTCTTCGCTACTGAGATCGGTGCATAGTTGTTGGAGTATTTATCTAAAACTACTGTAGAAAACCCGAGATTATACTTTGTTAAGAGTTGGGTTGTCGACCCATGTGAGGTTAAGTAAATTATTTGAAAGGGTTTTTTAAAATATGCATTAGCCAATAATTTCTAGACACTTTGACAATTGTGAAATAATTTAATATTTAATATAAGGACCACTTCATTTTGGAACCTTTTGTTTATCACCCACTTTGATGTTAGTTAGCCATTAATGGTATTCACTTTGTTTTGGAAATACTGTTAGCTTCAGTGTTTTTTATGAAGCTTACGAAATCTGTTACTCCACTAAAGTGGAGTATGGTATTACTGAAACCTCTTGAGCATGTTAAAGTGACAGTTCTTCAAAAAGTCTGTTAAAGTTCGTTTCACTATTTTAATTCTTACTACCTTATTAAATTATTAAGATATTCAATACCTAATTTAGTTTAACAACAGTTGTAAGTCGTAAAATCCTATGTTGTCATTATATTGTAATATTATGACTTAACAGAAACTATTTTATTTAATAAGAAGGTTTTCGGAGCAGTTGTGAATTGTTGGAATTCACACTGTTCGAAAAACGTCTCTATGAAAATATTCCTATATTTTTAATAGATAGCAATTTTTTGAATATTTTTTAAAAATTTTTGTTTAAAATATTTGTAGCGTTTGACCTTCAGTTTCCCTTGTTTTTAGCTGCATTTTCAGTTAATGGATTAAAAAAAAAAACTTATTTCATATTTTTTATGCTAAAATAAAAGAAACTGCGTTCTTAAAAATTTGTATATAAAACGAAACACTTACCAATCTGGACATGTTCATCGTAACCCCACCATTTCACATTTTACATTACATTAAGTTTATGGGAGTATAAATTTTTTCTTATATGCAAATTATGAGCTATCGATGCAGCTCTGCTTCATTGGCTCCAACGTAAAGAAAACTCAATTTTAATATTAAAATCAACTTGAAAATGATTTATCATCCTATGTTTCCTTATTGCTTCAAGGATAATCACTGTTTACGGGTTAAATTGCTGGGCGATTGTTATTATTGCGTGTCCCAATTCGAGAGCGATAACTGGAAAACACGTCCGGATCATGCAGTTTGCAGTGTCGAGACAGGACTTCACATGATAAGAGCTATTAAAGATGTCAGACTGCACACGCATGTAAGTAAAAAAGAAAAGAGTTTTTATGTTAAAATAATAAATAAAATCAACACACACAAAAAATTGTGTGTAAATTCATTTTTTATTTATTACCTTTTAAATTTTTAAAATATTTTTCGGAATCGTTTGCATAAATACCCAAGCACCCATGTGTATGCATGTTATGGGCACAGTGGCCCAAAGGTGCTATATCATAAATATGTGCCATGTGTTGGTATATTTATACTAGATGGCATGTGTTCAGCTTTAGTGTGTGAATGAAATTCTGCATGCAAATTTTTAGCAATGCTTTGGGCTGCAATGAAATATTCAACAGATTTGAGTAAAAACCAAAGATTCATAAATTTTTATACCATTTCCTTTGCACTTTTGCCTTATATTTCATTTAATATTGTATATTTCCTTTAATAAATGCAGTATGACAGCTGAAAGCAAAGATTGTTGGTAAATCATTTGTATGCAAATGAACTAAATATCAATCAAAAGCAAAAAGGTCTTAATTTTTTACTCCTAAATAAACTATATGAAAATTTAATAGTAATATTAAAAAAAATAATAATAAAGATATAAAACTAAAAGGAATACAGTATTGCATTATTATTATATATATTTTTGCTCGAAATTACTGCACCTGCCTGCAACATAATAAAGTAACATAACTCATACGCCCTGTTGCACCAGTAAAGTGCTCAACAAAGTAGCGCTGACAATGTGATAAACGGTAATGCTGGCAATGTGATATGAAATAAATAACAAAGCTCCAGAGTCAACCGTATTAGTACGTTTTGATGCGGGCCATTTTCTGTAAACAAACTGTCAATTTTACTATTGTGGTCCTTAGTCCCATAAATTGAAACAGAATACATTTAACTAATCTATTCACCAATTTGTTTACATTTGAACATATATTTCATCCTTCTATATGTGTGCATATTCCTAATCCCTTTACAATTTTAATTACAGGTCGATTTAAATATGCGCATTGGCATCCATAGCGGTTCGGTTATGTGCGGCGTTTTGGGTAACAAAAAATGGCATTTTGATGTTTGGTCAAATGACGTTATAATTGCCAATCACATGGAATCCGGTGGCATACCAGGGTGAGTTTAATAATTTCGACAAACAATTAAATCGTGTTTATGTAGAATAATTGATAAATTGAAAAATGATATGAGAAAATGTGGCTGATATAATTTCCATAATCATAACAATTAATTGCTTTTGAATAGGAAAAGCATGCGAAATACATATAAAATAAATATAAAAAAAGTTTTTGGCAACTAATTGAAAAGTAAAAATACCGTAAAATCATAAATCATTATTATTAGAAAATAAAATATCACATCAACAACTTTTACTTACCCTTATCTCCCAGTGTACGGTAACAAAACTTCGCCTACGCACAACTTAGGTGAGAAAGCTATGCTATTACTTAAACCAACCCACCAATCAACAAAAGAAAAGAACTAGGCAGCTACTTCAACTAAGACGGAACCTGCTCAGCACAACGGTATCTGTGCTGACGGGACACTGCGTAATAGGAAGGCACACTATGAGACTGGGTCTCCCGTTTAATGACTTTTGTCGAGGTTGTGGTTCTGAGGATGAGGAGGAGACTGTATTCCATCTTATGTGTCAGTGCCCTTCCCTAGCCAGAAGAAGATTAAAAACCCTTGGATCTCCTTTTCTAACCGACCTGACTGATCCTGTAATGGTTAGGGACCTAGCAATCATAGAACTGTAGGTTGGTTTTCCGTCCTAATAGGGAGTCGTTACCTTTTCTTCTTCGGACGTGATGTTATACTGATTACAATCTTTATACAAATCAACGTAACTCCTGTGGTACCACAATGTGCCATTATTTGTGCTTAAGTGAGCTTTTTGGGATACAAGGCCGCCACTCCAACCAACCAACCAACCAACCAACCAACCAAGTTGACCATTACAGACGTGAGTAATTCTTGGACGCGTTGAATAGCCTCCGCCA